ACCTCCTCACCTCTCGTCTACCTTTCACTACTTTTCCTGAGCTTTCCTCCTTCCTCTACTGCTGCTTCCTCATCTCACCCACGCTCTACGTTTTTTCCTCTTCTTTGCTCTTACACTTTCATTCGTATTTTTCTCCTGCTTCGCCATGGGTTCCTTGCACCTCTGAAAAATATTCCAGTTTCTTTTACATTGGATATACTCTATACGTATATAAGCCAACACACACGCACAGAGCTTTACTTTTCCCTGGTCGGCTTTAACAAAGGGCACGTTCGAGGCCCTGCGGCCCACTGGTTCGACCATTTCCTTTCTATCTTTTTTTTCCCTTATATGTCTCAAACACTCTCTTCTTCAGCTTTGGAGCTTTGTTAATTCTTTTTAAACTCGCTCTCTCTTCGATGCTATTTCTATTCTCTCTACCTTGGTGCAGTCATTATTGCTTTTTTTCTAGTCCCTTGTCTTCATTATCGTTGTAATAAGATCTTGTGATATCAAAAAGTATCTTGAGGTAACTTTTTTGCGTTTAGCAATGACAAGACTGCCGTGATGAAATTCGTTAGTAAGTGAGTAAAGTGGAAAACGACTAGCAGCATTACTAAGGGCTGTGAGGATATAAGTTCAACTCAGAAGAAACGTTATTAGTGATGAGCGAGTACTCTACTACCTCAATATTATACTGTGCTGTTGGAAAAGTATAGTGGCTCTTCTTCACAAAATATTTTATAATACCATCAAAAATTTGTTTGTGAACTGGAATTGTTTTTTTTTTATTAATCATCTAATAGTTGAATAATGTTCATTATTATTATTATTATATCTATGAGCAAGTTCTTTCATCAATATATTGATCGACAGAATAGCCAAGTAGTCACATGCTTCTATATTTGCAATAAACATACGCACGTGGGTGCTTCAATTACTTTGATCTTGAACCGCTGAAATTTTATGTCACGCTATTTCCGTGACTTGCACGTAGATTTCACGTATCGACAGATAAGAGTGGGGAAAGAATACCAGCAGGCTACATCATCCCTTGATATGATAGAAAAAGTTGATGTGTTAGTTGTGCTGATCGTTCTCGATACTAGAAAGTATAACTTCTTCTCGTTATATGACTTGAATCTTCAACCTATATTACCTTCTTCACTGAAATTTGTAATAATAAAATTGTCAATTCCAGACATGAAATGTTTTTTACAGTTTTCCTTCTTCTTTTTTTTACATATTTTTTGTTGCATGAAAAAAAAAATTGGATTTCATATTGCATACTTTTATATTACGTAATTTCCTGTTCATTCTCTTTTCTATTACAGAACATTATCGTACGACCTCGAGTTTCAAAAGGGTAAGAATATTTGGAACACTTTCTATCAATTTTACAGCAATAATTCCTCGAGTATTTTTAGCTGTGCAAATATAACAATTATTTTCTCTCTCTATCTCTTTTTTTTTTGTCATTTCGCCAACATTTATAATATTAGTTCAAGTTGAATGACGTCTTTATAAATCCTACTAAGTATTATCACAAAAGTTTATTCAATCAATGTAGGGAAATTGATTACTTTTTAACCCAGAAAAAGATAAAGCGAAATGACGGAAAATTCACATGGTACACTTGGAAATATAATTGATAAAATGTTGTAAGGGTGAAAGTATAGAGAAGGAAATGAAGCAAATTAACAATTAGAAAGAATAAAAGTAACGTCGTGGTTTGAACGATGTCCCGTTGGTCGCGACAAAGGTGGCGGTGTCTCGCGGAGGGATTGAAGAAGGGAGGAAATGTGCAGGTGGAAAGGACAAGGGGGAAAGCCGTGGGCGGCGGGGATGGATGAAAGGACGCTTACCAGCTACTACCTATTGATCGCCAATTCTTTTTCTCTTGTTGCATATTAGGCGCACTCTTCTCCTCTTTCCCTGCGGTCCTCCTCGCCACGCGAATACGCCCCTACATATTTCCGCCCTGGTTCTATCTTTCTTTCTCTCTCTTTTTCTCTCTTTTCCTCACACTCGTTTCCGCTACGAGGCTATACCTCACTTCAACGGTCACCCCTGCTCACCTTAACATACACACACACTCGTCTATATATTTTGCTGGTCACTCTTGTTCTTGAACGAATGGATGATTGTATTAAAGAAGAAATAGCTAGAATAAGTCTGTTATATTTGTGACATTATTCACATCACCAAGTTGCATCTGTCGATATTCCCGAGGACTCTAATATTAAATGATATTTATGGATCATGAATATAGCATGTCATTGATGTTTTAATATTTTGATTTCAGGTGTATCAAGAGGTGGTGTTTATTGATCTTATTACCAAGATCAATCGCACTGGCGTACACGCACAGTTGGGGAATAAATCAAGGAGTAACAACGACGAGAGAAGTTGAACGGACGAAAAGACGGCGGCGAAGGAGAAGAAGGAGAGACTGTTGGAGGAAGGCCGGAAGGACGTCTGAAGTGGCTAAGTGTATGAACAAGTGGCGCGCGGGAGTGAGAATATTGTTGGCACTATTGCCAAGAAATAGACACTTTATACACAAGTCGAATTATTTATAAGCCACATAATTACTACAATTCATATGACTAATTTTGGTATATTCTTCTACATCAAGTGAAACTTTTATTTGTCGACTATCTCCTCCCGCGCTACCACCTCAAGTCTAACCCTCATCAACTAAGTCCAATCACTAGTTAGACCTATTAAAACACGAGACACGGATGTGCGCTTGCAGGATCACGCGCACAACCGGACATCAACGTTGAGTAAGGGAATAGAAAAAGAGGTAAAAAAACGACTAACAAGGTGGCGTCACGTGGACTGACTAGAGAAAAAAAACATAAGCATTACCCGGAAACTTCTCACGTATTCAAAACGGAAACCATAAGATATTGGTTGCAAACACACCCCGCACAGCGGACATACATTCATCCTAAGATGTGATTTTAAAAATGGCGGATTGCCCCTATGCTCGCTGCATACAGGAACGTAGACATATTCGAAGGGAGTTGCTGCGATGGACAAAGAATATGGTCTTCGTAGTCGGTAAGTACACTCTATATTTTACATATTTACCAAAGCTTATTGGATAGTTTATCTTGGGCACTAAAAGTTGTCCAATATTTTAACGTAACTTCTTTTCCTCCGTACTAACACCAAATATTAATCTAGTTTTATTTTAATTTACATTATAAATTGCATTGTTATTTATAAATGTTGCATCAACTATATAAGCTTCAGAAAAAAATACTCCACAACAAGATTATTTTTAATACCATCGTATTTCATGCATTATCATGTTGATACACAAAGATATAGCATGATTTTTAAGATGAAAATTTCATAAATTTTTATTATTAATATTATTATTACATAATAATTTCGAAAGCAGGAAAAAAAAAAAAAAAGTAAGAAAGAAAATATTGATGTCAATTGTGATCAAACGTACATAATAGTAGTTCTATGCAATGCTCATACTCTTCTCAACTCTTTGTTGGAGTTTGTTGGAACTGTGTGATAGTAAGAGGCACACGGATACATCCCCTTCCCACTTTCCTCCGACACCACGAGAATGGATTGAAGCAGCCGACTAGACCGAGAGACCTGTTGCAAGTGGAAAACGCCAAATACTCTTTGGCTGACTATACCTTTCCTCTAACTCCTCTAAGTATGACACTATCATTTTAAATCCTTCCAGCCATTATATTACAGTTATTTTCATTCTCTACACATATCAATATGTTTTAAATGTTCAATTAAACATTTAAAATCAATTAAAATAATCATTTTCATGAATTTTTTTTGACTTATAAATAATTCAAAATTTTTTCATGTAGATTTGGAATATTATCGTGTAAGACTAAGAGATGATCGAATGGCGTCGCGACGCACGGGCGTCGGCTGAGCGGAAGTGCTGCGCAAACCGCGTGTCTTGACCACGGACAAGCCGCCGCCCGAACGCTTTTCTTCCACCTTACCAAGTCTCCCTACCTACTTGCATCATTCTCTCTCTCTATCTCCCTTTCTCTTTTTCTCTGTTTCTCATCTTCCCTCTCTCTATAGTTACCCCAAGATGCACCCTTTCTTTCCCTCCACAACCCTTGCATCCATCCCTTCTACACAACCAATCCCCACTACTCGTCTTTATCTTTCCTCCCCTTGTCTCTTTCCTTCGAGACTTCGTTTCCTCCCGACACGTTTCTATCTGCTGCTGGCCTAATCGTCCACACAGTCTTTTGTCATGGATGTGAGTCTCTTGAAATTCATCTATCATATCAATTCAAATGATGAAAATCAACAAAAAGTGTCATTGTGATATACATGATTGAGTGTATTTGAATTTCATGTGATTATATTTCTTTATTATTATTATCTCCATCGTTAGGATAAAACAATGAAAAATCATGATAACAAGAATCACTATGTCATATTGAATACAAGAGGAACTGATTTTTTGTGAACTTAAGAAACAAGTGTAATCAACGAGTGATTATCATTTAATATTTTTTATTCTTCCTTCTCTTCCTCTTCCTCTTCTTCTTCTTCTTCTTCTTGTGCATCTTTACCATCTTTTTGTTGAGTTGAATAAAATTCATTGGATTTCAAATTAGCAAAATAATTAGTTTAAAATAGTATTGTGGTATATTATGAAAATAAATGTAGTTAGACGTAATCATGAGTGATGAAGAAAATGGGGACTTGGATTTATGTCGAGAACAAGCCCACGGTCACGGTACTGACCGGCTACTGGTATGGTGTATGTATATATACTTGAAGACGTAATCGCGATTGAGGCCGAGTTGCCGGGAATGCCATAACGAGAAAGGCAAGTTGAAGAAAATGATGTCGATCGAGCGCAACGACCTGCAGACGATGTCGTTTTGCCTTGCATTGACCAAGGTGCAGCTTTCAAGTTCTCAGACAAAGTGTTAAACACTTATCTAAGTCATATATGTAGGTATGTTTTAATTTGTCAACTTTTTTCTTCAACCATACGAGTTTATTAAATGATAAAAACAATTCCACTTGATAGATAAATATAAATGTCATGAAATGGAATACAAATAATTCATATAATAATATTATCAAATGATATTTGTTCATGTTTTTGTTGTCAATCAAGCTGGATGTCGAAATGTCATAAGCCGCATGTCGCGTCCTCTTTTCTTCCCCCCCACGTGTGGCATGTGTTATCGCGTCGCGTGCCAAGCGTGGTCGTTATTATTTCCGAGTGCGCTTGCTCGTGTTACTCGCGGTACCTTTGGAATTCGTCTACCGAATGCTTACCGGTTACGGTTTCCGTGAATTAATTTCAAATGATAAAACACATGACTGTATAATAGTTATTATTCACAATACTTGTGTATGTATAGATTTAACATGTAGGTACCTGGTAGGTTTTGTTATGCTACCAACTTATTATTATTGTAAACCGTGTAAATTCAGGTCGAGAAATGGTACTCTTATATTCAACAGATCGATATATAAAACACTGTAGAAGCAATAAAAAAAAGTATGCAATGTAGACGAAAGAAAAAAAATTAAAGTAAAAAAGTCGTCTTTATGTTGAAGGCGAATTTTTCTTCTCCTTCTTTTTATCGCCTGGGGGTCCTCAACCCTCTACTATGGCCCTGGAGATGGTGGTGGGTGTGCAGCTGCGCCGAGGGTGATCGTTAAAAGGCGCATAAAAGAGGCAGCGCGAATAGCAACAATAAAAATTCGTGGGCCTTCGTGTGTCGTCGTTGTCGTATAACAGGACATTGAGAGGGGTGGTAAACTCAAGGGAGGGCTTATAGTTCTAGAGTGTACACAAGAGAGAAGCGAAATAGAAAAAAAATGGACAGAAAAAAAAACGACTTGAAAAAAATTAAACGCAAAAGCATAAGGAAAAAGAGAATAAGATTGCAATACCGGCGGTGCCGGAGTTGGAGTGGGGTACGTAATGAAACGATATTGAGTGGCTGTAAGAAGAGTAAAAAAGAAGGGGTAGGGAGATGGAGAAAAAAAAAATTCAAAAGATAAAATAAAGGAGGAGGAGGCGACGAAGGGAAAAGGATGAAATCACGTCCTTGATGTATAAAATCATTTGTTACCCACTTATGCGATTGACCCTATCAGTTTGACACAAATGATGGGACAAATGGAGAAGTAAGGAATGGAGTCAAGTCCCAATGGTGATAGGTAAAGGGTGGTATTTTATATGACATGAACTTATAGTAAGTTAGGTATGGTAAATCTACAATTGATGTAGATTATTCTTATTATATTCTAGACTGATTTTTTTCCCATTTTCCAGACAATTTTCTACATGAAAATTACCCTTGATTCAAGCACTCTAATCCCTAGTAAAATGATTTTCCATACTGATTGTAGATTTACTACAATTCTCATATATTCGATTTATAATTTATTTTAAACTACTAAATTGAACGAATATTCTTGAAAAGAAAATGCAGAGGTACTGTGAGGGAAAATTTATAAATAAAAGAGCGTTAAAAAAGTATTGCTGGTAACAAAATAAGAGGGGATAGTTAAAGAGAAGAGGGATAAAATTGTATAGTGAAGTAGGGGGTTCGTCTTCGCACCCCCTCTGTCGATTGACCTCGCTTCGATTTACTGAGTGGGGAGAAAAGCAGTCGTAAAAGAGTGGGAAATGTGCACTTAGATTTGAAAGTGGGGAGAAACGTGAAAGGCGAAAGAGGGATGATTCTACTGAGTAACTGGGTGCGGGGGTGAGTTATAGATTGAAGAAAGAAAAAGCTGGTGCAAGTGGAAGCGGAGGGTGAGTTTAAATTGACGAAAATGACGAGACTCTCCCACTTGCTATATAGAGTTTTTTTTTATTTATTGAAATAAATTTACAAGCTGCGAAAAGTGATCAGAAAGTTTTTGCTCTTGCACCAGGATTTATCAAAGTAAAAAATTTATTCATAGAGATAAATTTACAAAAATAACCCATTCTAAATATTTGTGTTCATCAAGCATGAGTTTTCGAATTACTTCAATATTAATTCTCAATGATTATTAAATGAATTTTTTGGAAATGAAAGAAAAAAAATATTAAAATTTCCTTGACTGTCAAAAGCATTGATATAAATACTATCATTCAAAATTCACACACTGAATTAATTTCATAGAGATATAAATAATAACTAAATAAATAAAGTAAGTGAAGTAGAGTATAATAGAGTGTGAGTATAATATGCGAAAATATAAACAAAAGTGACAGTAGAATAGCACGAGAGAACGCAAGTCAATTTTGGATCGTTTAAATCCCACCGTGATATCCATAACGATGATATTAGCCGGTGGCGAGCCACTGGAAAGCGAATGTCGACCAAGTGACACATGTAAATGCAACTGAGTGCAACGAAGATGACGACAAATTTGCATAGGCAAATGAGAGAGTGAGAAAGTGCATCGTTGATAGTCTGTGTGTTATACGAGAGAACACAATGAAATGTACAGACAAGAGTTTACCCATTGTGATTTTCTGTCTTTTTCTCTCAATCTGTTGCTTTTTGTTCTCTTTATTCTTTTATGTACTTATATAAACCTACACTCTTTTTGCCGAATAAACATTTCAGCCGTTAAAAAGCCGTTTTTATTTTACACTAAATTTGTCGATTCTAAAGCATCGAGTTAACTTTATTAAAGTGGTGTGAATCATTATTTTATTAAAGATTATTATTATTATCATTTTAAAAGTGTAATAAACTATTTTTAAAAAACGATAATAATTAGATAAATGATAAGAAGATCTTTGTTAGGTTTATAAATATAATTATAAGAAAAAAAAGGTATTATGGATAGTCGATAGAATATGTGCCACCCGCGAAATTAATGTCTTAATAGTTTATGACAATGTCATCACCATTATACCGTTTCTATAGGGTAACACTATACATTTGCAAGTACGATAAATGGGTCACCATTGTCATCTATCGTCATTCTCAAATATATTTACGGATGCGTCAATGTATCGGATTACCGCTTACTTTGTTATGAGAAAGATGAGTAAAGATATATGTCGTTGAAACACGATCAAACGTTGATCCCAAAAGTTTGCAATACTGCGAAAAGATACATTTGCGTGTTGTCATTAAATTTACCATGGAAATTCGGCGAATGTAATTGAAGAGAAACTAAATAATTATATCTGTTATTTTATTTCAAACTAAAAAAGTAAAATGATTCTGATAATAGTTTTAAAAAAAAATAACAGATTCAAGTGATGATAAAATTCGAGCATAGAAAATACTAGTCATTGGAGATACTTGTATAAAAAGTTAATTATCACAAGCAAACAACGTAGACACATTTGATAAGTAATAAAAAAAAAATAAAATTAAATTAAAGTTGAAAAAGACAACGAACAAAAAAAAAGCAGCTGAATGCAATTTCAGTGTCATAATAATAATAATAATGAATGATAAATAATGTATTTTCTCCTTTTGATTGTGAATTATCTTCATTGCAGTTTCGATTATTAAAAGAGATTACTCAATACATACGGCCCATTTGCACGAAGCTAGCACGCGAGTTTCGGACAAAGGATAGCCTTGTGTTCTCTCTCTCCCGTTGCAACTTCACTCGACCCCACCACCAAACTATTGCAAAGTGTTGAGACTCGTCGCCATATCATTTCCTAACCTTCTACTCTCGTCTAAACTGGATCGCGATTGGCCCAATAGCTGAGTCGATTAGATCCTTGTGTAGCAAAAAAAGGGGACCAAAGGACGTGGGTCAAATTATGAACGAGGAGAGAGGGAACGACTGCTAAAAATTACACTATTCTGATTGGCCGATATGTACGTGAGTGTGTATATATGTGTATGTGTGCTAGATTAGTTACTAAGCTACTTGTTTCAAATCAGACAATGGGAGATTTTTTAATCACTGAATCAATGAGATAAATTGTTAGATTATTTCTTGCAAAGCCGAATAATTTTTGCTTCATGATTCACTGATGATCCAATCTGATGATTATACTGCAATTATTGAATATTCTTTACTGTGTATAATGAGTGTTGTATTAGGTAGAGTAAATGTATGAGTTGGTAAAGAACAGGTTCGGAATTTATTTCCATGCGATCGCCCATTTTCCTGACGCCCGGTCGTCCTTGATAGCTTTTTGCGACGTTGACGACGTTCAACCGGGCGTGGCTCCCCTCTTCTCTTTCTCGTTTCATCTTGTTCAGAGTTCTAATTCCCCTTGATATGATGTTTTAAAAGTTTTCCGGCGTAACGACTCGTGTCCTCGGATTTGATATCTTTGCGGCTTTTTCTCTGCACCACCGTCGCCTACTCGTTGATCCTGAGTTGAATTTTATCAGCAACCAAGGCGACGGAGACGACGTACAATGACTGTCGTGGCTACGGAGACAGCCATCTAATCGTTTCTAGAATTACTAACGCACTTGGACTTTGTACGCCATGAATATTAACTCAACATAGTTAGAGGGAGAATAGGTTTGCGGTTAAACCACTATGATCACTAACGTTTTGGTGATTAATTCTTTATGGTTTTATTATTATTATTATTATTACTATTGCTATGTTTTTACTTCTAGAAATTTCTTATTATTATTTTTACTGTATTATAATAATGAGTATACGTGATTACGAATTATCGTCAATTAAATAAGTCAGCCACTGTCGTGCATCACGAAAGTACTGATATTTTTATAAAAAAAAAGCTAAAAAATTCACGTTTAAACTTTGTCAGATTTCCCCAGTTTTATAATGCACGTATTTCTCCTCTTTTTTTTTTTTTTGTTTAATTTTATCATTGACACAGTGGAATAAGAGAGGAGTAAAAAAACTTGAATTAAAGTTCCTCAGACAGGTGAATAGTTTGATGTTATGGTTAGTAGTATTGAGAAAGGCACGGAAATTAAATGACGCATTGATCTTGGAAAAAGTAAATCATTAGTCTTGAGTGTAGAAAAGTAATGTGTAATCGTGCAGGAAGAGAAAAAAATACGTCGAATTCTGTTCAAAATGATCATCATGGTAATAGTCAGTACTTTTCACATGACTCACGCAATCGGCCTTGAAGTTTGCACCCTCCACGTCAAGTTTTGTATGTAAATGATGACTCGCAAATTTTTTTTCTTTTATAATTATCCAGAAATCAAGTCACAAAATTTACCATGTGTTGACATGAAGGATTTTATTTTATATTAGTTATTAGAATTAATGTGTAATTGATAATTGTATGATAAGAAATTTATACTTAACAACCTAAATGACATTGGTATAAACAATAAATCATTTCTTTAGGAAAAATTTACTTCATTTATAACACTTTTATATTCAATTAAATTGATAGTTTCTTTAAAATAAATATTATTTTTCAGTGTTTGAAATAAAAAAGAACGATCAATTTCTCAATCATAGAAATATTATCTCTCATCATTCCTCAATAAATCTATTTATCAATTAAAATTAGATGATTTTTCAATAGGCTATAATCGTAAATTATGTTTTTTATCTGAGTAAAAAAAGACGTCTGACTACGACACACAGTATCTACTTCAAGACAAAAAAACACTTAGGATTTTTTTAGTCAACGAAAAATAAACTTTGGACATTTGGTAATAACATAGTAAGTAAAGTTGAACCAATTGCTCGATACTTGCGAACAAAAAAATAAATGAAGGACATACGAATAAAAAAATTGATGAAATTTACATTAGATTGACATACATAAAAACATATGTGTGTATATATGTAGATAAGTATAGGTATATTCAACGGATCAATGAGTTTTTTTCCACAAACAAATTACATATAGCGATGCAATTATTATTATGATAAATTTGATAAGTCGTTTGGAAGTAGAGCGTTTAAATAATAGTCTATGCGTGCACGAACACATCCTGCCGCAGTAGTTAAACTCGATGCGGACCACACGTTTGCTTGACCATTATAAAACATTTGACAAACAATAATAATTTATTCAGATGTTTTCACACAAGCTATTCGTTGAATTATTTGAACAAACGCTTCAGTATTGTCTTATTACTTCCACCAAGCTATAAATATAATGTAGACATTTTTTTAGTAAATATTGACCACATATCTTTTATTTTACTTCACTGTCTATACCAATAAAAAATCGACCAATTACTTGCAATTTGTTTTTTATCAGCCTTATGCAGTTTTCATCTATTCTACTTTTTATTCTAATTCTATTGCAGTGTATGATCATATCAAATTCGCCAATTCCCTACTGAGTTGTAGCGTGCAATTTTTTATCAGTAGGTCAGATAAAAAGCTATTTGGTGTAATCTACAAACTATAATATATTTTTCACTGCGTATACTTTTTCCACTAATTTACTACGTTTTCTATATAAAAATTTTATTTGAGTGAATAAAATTTTTTATATTATTGTAAAATAATTATTCGCACTTTTTTTGTCAACTTTCAATTGTTGATTATTTACAATTGTTTCAATACTTGAAGAGAATGCATTTCACTCAACTTATATCAACTTATAACCAACTACCATCATGATAAGTGCTTTCACCCTGCATTTTCACGCCTCCTGGGTGACTATTCAGCATCGAGAAAGACCAACGTTACTTTGATGCCGATGCATTTCAAGTGAAAAAACAAGTTCAAAGAACTTTGTCGCCTTGTTCTTTTTCCTAAGAATTATTTAATTGACCTTTAAAGAGTCTTATTCTACACTTAGAATAGGTATCTTAAGGGTGCTAGCTAATGTATTCCACTTCAAGGGTTACTTTTAGTTACGTTATTATTACCGAACCTCGTTTGTGTCTCTAAAAAGTTAAAAAAAATTACTTGAAAATTCAAGTAAAACTCTTACCAAATTGTGTTTTATTTATTAACATGATTCTAGGAGTTTGCATGAATATCATTGATAATAAAATCAATTATTTTAAAGACATATTTGTATATATATATACACAGTCTGCAATGAAAAATCATTCTAATACATATTTTACATTGCAAAAGCCTACAGATTGCACGCAGGTCACAAACTCACATATGGCGTGACTTTCTTACCTATATGAATCATTGGATTTTACGATAAAAAAACTTCATGTTCTTTTTTAACGTATGCAAAATCGTATACAGAAACGTGAAAAAAATTCCAGCTAGTTATTTATAAATATAGTTACAGTTTATACTGACTGACAATAATAAACAAAGACAGAATCATAAGATTTATCTGAATTAAATGCTTCACCATTGAACGTACTTGAAATCTTTCAGGCTATTTTAAATGTAGTTGTATTATATTATTCTATTAGTTATGTACACGATAGATACTCGGACACATCAGAGTCACGTCACATCATCACTGATAATTTTGTTCGGCCTTTGGATAATTGAGAAAAAATGATTTTATCACTTATATCTTTATCAAAACATACACAAGAGTGTTAATATAATGTGTATTCTACATTAAATAAATGAAATTGAATTAATTATTAGCAAAATTATTGTCATTTAATATTTAAAGCTATAATTTTCTTGAGCCGCAATCATGCTATTAAGCAACATCTATTTAAAGATAATGGTTTAATATTGAATTGATTGAGTGAATTTTCAAGTTCATACTTGGCTAGATAAAATAGTTCGGAATGTTCATGAGTGTCGGATAAGTGTCTTTGAAGACAGAGAGTGAATGTTGAGAGTTAGCAGAGCGGTAAACTCGCTCATCATTGTTTGATGTAGTTGCGGTGGTGTCGCAGGTCTGGAACGAGTAGCGGAAGAGTTGATGGGCCGTAGGAGATGGAAGCAATACCAGGACACCCTGTACAGCAGCACTCGGAGCGAATCAGCCACGCAGCCACATCACCGGCTTTATCCAACGCTCTCGACAACCTGCAATTTGGCAGCCGGGAGTTTGAGTCAGGTTGGTCATCACCAAGCATCCTCGGGTCCAAGTCCAACAGCAACAACAACACCCGAATCCATAGTTGCGAAACAACAACTAACCAATCACAAGAACGACGAATTACGTCTCAAGCCTGGAGACATCAAGACAGAAGTCGAGGCTGCTACGGAGGAGAACGGTACTCGCTTGGAGTCTCTGCAGCACGGGCAAGTCCTTGCCAATCTAAAACAGCACCAGAGACAACGAAAGGAAGACGAAGACGAAGGGAAAAACGAGAACGGCGAAAACGATCAGGAGGGTGGAGAAAAAAGGCTCAAACTAGACGAGAACTCGGTGAGAACGACAATCAGTCCACTGAGGGAGAACGATACGTGCAGAAAAAACGAGTCAACGGATACGGAAGATATCAAGGTGAGATTCAGTTCATGTCATTTCTTTCTATTAATAGACTGAAATATATTTCATATTTTTTATTTTCTAATTATTGTACAGATAAACATAGTGTAAAATGTATTTATCTGTGGTAATAATTTTTATTGAATGAAATAGGAAAAACCAACGGAAGCTGGTCTAGAACGAGTACAAGTGACTCCAGGTTTACTGAGAGTGAAAAAAGAAGAAGAGCTTCAGGAGTTGCCGCAACAGGTGAACTGTGGAGGAGAAACGACGAGAAGTGTGGTAGATACTGGAACAAACAGACTAGCAATCAGTGTCAAAGAGCAACCAACAGACTGTCCTACACTTCACTTTCATCGGCGAGCAAGTCCACCACCCGAGGACTGGAAGCCATTGGACAAGTGTTACCTCTGTCTAGATGGAAAACTGCCTCACGACGACCAGCCGCCGCTTGTGAGTTTTCTAACTCATCATCGATTTATATCTCATTCAGCTATTTTCGTCTTTGATGTTACCAATGAAACTTTAATAGAAAGTTTTGTTAAATATTTATCAACTCATGTATCTTTAAGCAAGATCTTGAAATTTCGATGCATTGCTTTTTTAGAGTCCTCAAAGTGAGAGTAGCAGTAGTTCGCGATCTGCAGAGTCACCAATGTCAGTACAAGTTGATCCGATGGCAGCCTCAGTGGTTGCTGCCGCACTTAGCGGTACATATCCAACCTTACTGCCACAGTGGTGCTTACCTCCGAGGGAAACACCTCTCGTGGGTGTTCAGATACATCAAGAGACCGGCCAGATAGCCGATCAGCCACTTGATCTCTCGGCTAAACCGAAAAACTCTCAGGTTCATTTTTTTTTTCTCTACCTTAATATATAAATTTTTATTAGAAAAAAAAAAGAGAATAATTAAATCAATATATTCATGATAAATTTATGTTTCCGTTTTACATGATAAATTAATGCATTTATTATTATTTCATTCTTGTTTTTATTTGTTTTAACTTTTTATCAATTTCGTGATAATAGAACGAACATTTTTTATTCATTTTTAATTATAGATAAATATTTGATAAGTTTATAAAATTTTTAATCAACAATAATGCTTTTAAAATTGTTTTTAGGATAACAACATATCCATGTTGGAACAACAGAAAATACCTCTGAGAATGCCAACGGGGTTAGATCCCAAGAGTATCTTTGCGTGAGTACTTATTTATTTCCGTCTTTTTGAATTTATGTAGGCAAAAAAAAATGATTTAATTCAAGTCCTAGTATGTGTATGCATATGTATGTGTATATATTTCCTATCGACAGCTGTCAAAGACATGTTTGTTTGTCCCTTGTCCTCGAATCGTCTTTCCCTTCTATATCCTTTATGAAAGCATCCTTACGATGTATTTGCATTCAATTTCAAGTACATGCAGTAAAAGCAAAGATAAGAAAAAGTTTGATCGGATTCAATCATCTGGATATATTGTAACGTTCTGCATTACAAATTTTTTGTAGCATTTGTTGAGTTATTTCTCCAATATTTGTTTTTAAAAAAAAATTATTAATAAAATAATATTCGGATAAATTGTTGGATATAAAGCTTAACTTTTGAAAAAAGAAGTAGAATATTTTATATAATCATTCAAGTTGAATAAATTTTGATGGATTTAAAAACATAAATTAAAATAAAAATATCAGTATTGAAAGTAATAAATAAAAGACAAATTATATTGAAAATACAGCGTGCATTACCCTCATGTTTTTGCAGTTCTCATACAGATCTTTTTGCGCGTAAAATTTTTTATCATTTTCTATTATTAGTTACACCGTAATCTACACCTCTTGACTCAACAAAAGAGTGAAAGAATTGTTGCAGTCGGCAAATAAGAAAGAGAGAAAATGCAAGCTGCCTTAAAGTCACGGTTAGATAAGATTGCGACAAAAGAGTGTCTTTCACCTCGAATTTTGTTCGAAATACCCATTTGAGAAGTTTTGCTCTCATTGTCTATCTTATGTATACATATATTTGAATATAGGGAACCACTGGTACAAACAGAAATATCAGTTTCTGACGAAATACATTTCAAGTTCATTCACTCGACAATTGATCATGGGTGGGTGTCTCGATATCGCAAGCGAAATGCAAAGTTTACCAAACTAAATGCACTTTTATCAGCTCGGATTTTGACTCGGGCATTAACCAGAAAGGCCAATGACCTAACGTTATGTCTTGAACGTTGAGCGAAAGCAACAGGAGACTTTTAATTGGCCCGGAACAGAATTTATACACTTAATCTTATCAAAGTTTGTTTTGTCCAAATATATTTTGTTCTACACCTTAATACTTATCTTTGCTTTCACTACATGTTGATATTAATCATTTAAATATACAGTGATGGCTTATTGATAAATTCACAACTGACACCTCTGTTTGAACAATTCTCCAATTCAATTATTGACATTTCAAAAGTTTTATCATTATCGACTGTTTATTTTTCGAATAATAGTAAAAACTAAAAACTGTATATTTCAATTAACAGCTCGTCTTATCGCGCCAAACCAAGATTGACAGGTCCAATTGGTGCTGGTGGTGTGCCTGTGGTGGGTAGCGGAAGGAGAACATATACTGAAGAAGAACTTCAAGCTGCGCTCAGAGATATTCAAAGCGGTAAACTTGGCACCAGAAGGGCGGCTGTGATTTATGGAATACCAAGGAGCACACTTCGCAACAAGGTCTACAAACTTGCAATGGAACGTGAAAGGGATGCGTCCCTGACAAGCACCCACTCACACCCCCACGAGTCCGGTGCCCCAGCATCCGCCACCACCACCATCACCACCACAACAACAACAACAACAACACCAACTACACCAAATACGACCCAAAATGCCTCTGCAACCACTCCGCCCGCGCAAGTGGACGAGGTAGGTTTTGGGGACAAAAGAACGAACATTTTTTCACGACAATACTTTCGAGAAAAAGATCATATAGAAAAGAGATTTGTGAGATCTTATATACCGGTATCCTAAAAGTGTGAGAGTATCTTTTTTCAAGCTTTTATCAGGTTAATAATAAATAAAAATATGTTTTTTTGTACTGTTTACATAAAAACATATTCATTTATATATATATAAACGACTTTTAATAGAAATAATTGAAAATTTTCAATTAATTCTCGATTGAAATAAAACAGTGATAGGGAGAGAGATGTTGAATTCACGGTCAAAACGGTTACGCGTTCAAATTGTTTTCAATCTTTTAATTAAATTGGATCAATCAACAGTAAAATGTAATGTTTTTTTTGTTCATTTTATTCTTTTAAATGGTTTTGGTTAGGAAGAGCGAATAGAGCTTCCCCAAAACATACCTCTGGCATGGCGATTCAAGAGCCCGTGTAGACATAATATTCGAGCATACCAGGAAAAATAGTTATATTAAGTAATCAAAAATAATCGAGTATAAAAAACTTTGTCGGAAAAATCAATTCAAGAATAAATACATTCAATGTCTAAACGGGATTAAATAAAATTGCCGTGACGCTGAATAGTTGTCCTATGTCTTTGCATGGGCTATGTATTTTTTTTTTCTATCATGTCATCACTATTTGTAGTTAATGTTTGACCATTTAGCGGTGTTACAAGAATTAATGAGGTAAGTTTTTGGGAAGATACCGCGAGAGTAATACAACTAATTAGCTAATAATATTATTAATAAATTATTAAAGAAAAAAAGTAATTTAAATAATGAAGCTCTTCACACTTTTCTTTTATATATGATAATCGTTAAATATTTCTTTTTAAATACACTAAAAATATAATTGTTGATTAAATTTTTTTAACGATTAATTAAATACTCAGTGAGTCACGTATTAAAGATGTCAAAGTGGTTCTCGCATTGTTTAGACAATCATTTTAAGCGCATGCATAATGAAAACTAAAATTCTCGAGGTATAGTTGTAATACTTAGCAGTATTCAATGCTAATAAATTAGTTGTCTTATTTAGAGTCGATAAATTATTAACAATGAATACTGTAATTATTAGTATATACTTTATATATGTTTTTGATATGAATGACTGACATAACTGTTATAATTTATATACATTGTGCAATTTATTTACTTTGTTTTTCTTTCAACTTTTAAATGGTCCCAGATGTGTTATAAAAGAACCTGTTCTATCTTAGTGAATTCCTGCATGTTGCTTGATTACTGTGCACTCAATTAGAACATTTGATATCAGCTACATGTCTGACAACACATAAATACATATATTTATACATAAATACTCAACAAATTACCGTAAACAATATCAATTTATGAAAAATATAACACATAAAAAAAAGAAAGGAAAGTGAATAAATATGAATAAGTGCATACTGATGGAATACCAAGTTTTTTTTTTTAATATGTTTAATAAAAAAATTTTTCAATAACTAATATAATAATAAATCAAGTTATCATGGAATGATGTAATTTAAAATTTACATGTATGAATATAAAAGCTTGATAATCCATATTTATACACTTTAATAAATTATCTCAGTTAATTTAAGTAAAAATGTGAAATAATAATGTTAATGATATAATTATGAGAGTATTTATATTAAAAAATAAGCTCATAGTGAGTAGAAGACGCTAGATTGAATATTTTTAACAGGCAGAGGACAAGGAGTTATCGGGAGCTGAAGAGGAGAAAGAAGTAGAGAAAGCCTTACTGAAGCCTTTGCTTTCAATTGAGGATCTTGTGAGGTTCTCAGCACTGGAAGCCAGTAGTGGGGAATCTCTAAGGACTCTGCTTCAACGAGGACAAGACACAGGGACAGAATGGCCCGGTTTTGAGCACGCTAACATTGGGCCTTACATCCAAAAGATGTTAGCAGCGGCTGCACCATTCAAGGGTAAGTTTTTAGTTCTTTTATTTACCTGGTATTCGCGTCAGTTCGATCGAAGCCGGAAGTGGATTTAGGTCGTGTCCACCCGAGTGTTGCTTGCCTTTGGCACTTGCACTCGACCATTTCATGGCACACGATGACTGCAACCGCAACACTGTAAGTCTTCGAGAATCAATAGAAGCCAGTCCAGTTCAATTCTCCTTCATGTTATCTGTGAATTACAACAATGTATGCTATTTTTGACTAATACAAAAATTTCATTTTTACAGGTTTAGAAACTCAAGATTATAGAATACCCGAAGTCATGAAGCGACTTATGAGTGAAGACAAGAGATTAAATAAAGATGTTAATGGAGACCAAGCCCTTCCACATCAACTTCCCCACTCTCATTTGCTTCAATCATCGCAAACTCAACAATCACAGTCACAACAACAAAGGTTACCCATGACAAATGATGATTTTAATCCAAGCTTAGAAGATGAAGCGAGTGACAGTGCTCAGGGCAGAGCCATACTCAAGATTCCGTCCTATAAACCAGCGAGCACACCAGGCTCAAGTAAAAATGGGGAACCGACCTCAGCTGCATTCGCTCAAAGCTTTGCTGCTGCTTCCAGCGCTGCAGCTAGTCCTGGACTTTTAGAGAGAGCAAGTCCAGCGTTTTCAGGCACGAGTAGTCCGACGAATTCCTTAGTTGGTAAAGCAGTCAACTTCCGTGATGTTATTGCAAAGAGCATTAGTTCTAAATTTCAAGAAGGTCAGTCCAATTTACCAGGACAAACCTCAGTTCCTGGCCAGACGTCAGCTTCGATGCTCAGTGAAACGAATCCTTTTAAACGAGGACGATACACTCCACCTCAGCCACAGTCTCAACAACAGCAACAACCAAAGCCACAATCACAAGAAAATAAATCGAAACCAGTTTCCGGTGGCAAGGGTACAAGGCCAAAACGGGGCAAATATAGAAATTATGATAGAGATAGTCTCGTAGAAGCTGTTCGAGCTGTACAAAGAGGAGAGATGAGCGTGCACAGAGCGGGAAGCTATTATGGTGTACCACATTCCACTTTAGAATATAAAGTTAAAGAGAGACATCTCATGCGACCACGGAAAAGGTAAATATTGATTAAAACATTTTTTTTATTGAATATAAAAACAAGTAATACATATGAGTACTTTTTTTTATGTAACAGGGACCAGAAACCACCAGATGATAAAGCGAAAGAGCCCGCAGCTGCACCAGCAGCATTACGACCGGGTATTCAAGATAAAAAACCTCCTCTGAAAACTCAAAAACCTTTTACTCCTGGTCCAGGAAGCATTCCAAGCCCAAATGGTCTCAAAATTTCACCTTTTCTAGAAGGCATGCCACATTTACCATTTCCACATCCCTTTAATTTTTGGGGTCCAACACCATTCATGCCTTCGCCTTTTATTCCTGGAGCATCGAACGTACCAACGATGCTTCCAGAACAGTATTTTGCACCCCAAAGAATGAGAGGATTACAAGAACAACAGAGGAGCGCGATAGTGCAACAACAACAGCAGCATCAATCACAAAGGGAGAGGGAAGGCTCTGCATCCGAACCTGGAACGTCAACTCCTCGGGGTTCGTCGATAGTAAAAACAACCCGAGAGTTTGCTGAAAGTCTTTATGACGGTAGTGGTGCAAATGGAAGTTTTTTAGACAATTTAATTAGGTCGAGTCTTGAAACTGGCATTCCGAGAGATCAAAGATCATCGGCTGACGGAAATCAAGCAACAACTACCCCTGGACAGCATCATTCTGAAGGAGGTAAAGCTCTTATAGATCAACTTTGTCGGAATTCTAGGAGGACACCATTGCCACGAACTACTCAAGATAGCAGTGAAGACGAAAGCTATCGAGGTGCATCAACGAGATCGCTACCAGAAAGACCTGAAAGGGTACCTACAGTTGATCTCAGTCCTTCACCAACGGATAGAGCAAGAACCGATGATCAAAGCAGTGATCGATTAACATCACCACCTACACCAATGTCAGTATCAAGAACTGGCAGTCGAGATGAAGACACACGAGACTCTAGGGTAGATCGAGGTAGCAGAGAACGTGAGGTTCATAATGGTAATCAAGAAGATCGTGAGCCTAGAAAGACACTTAGTTTGCAACAGCAACTAAATCATTACTCGGACATACACAATCTCTATTCTGTATCAACTGACAAAAAAAGTGCCTGTGATAGTAAGCTTATAGTAGACCAGAAAACTCAGCAACATTCACAACAGCTGGTTGTACAATTGCAAAGAAGCTATAATGCTAGTGGTGTTAATAACAGATCAACTGAAGTTAATCAACAAAACAACTCTCAATCATCAACTCAGCCTGTCCAGGAGCCACGTGGAGCTGTACTCAGCATGGAAGACTCCGTAGAGCAGTAGACAAAGTCAGTATCTTCTCGTTAACAAAACAAAACAAGAGTATACAGTTACATTACAGTAACAACACAGTTGAATCCTATTAATCCTCATTCCTAAAAATTTTACATTTTTATGATAATACAATCTGTGCACCTGAATGAAATTGATCGCGTCGCGTCTTATCTTTATCTCCTCCACCACCTACATTCTTCAATGATTTACTCAAAATTTTAATTCTGATCAAGAATTTTTTTATATCATCCAAAAGCTCATTTGGTTTTTAAGACATTCATGATCATAGTTAATTAAAATCCCGCGTGTAATTATTACATACCTTAGCTTCAGGAATTCATTTAACCTTTGCAAATAAGATTATCCCCTGAAGATAATGGGAAGATTAGTTATAGAAACTGAGACTAAAAAAAAGTCGTACAATCACAAGTTGTACGTTTCAACAATCCACTTAAAACCTGATGATTCCAAAAGTAATACGCCACGTTTGGTCGTGAATTCAAGTCGTTACACTTGACGCCAATAATTCACTCAACGTGACATGACTTTTTCGACCTTGGTGATTAGGGAAATGCATTGAACATCATTATTACGATTAACCGTGAACCTAATTACATGAGTTATATACACTTTTACACACGTGGGAAAAAAAATCTCTTATGCAGACAAATATATACATGCAAACAATGAAAAAAAAAGAAACATTGACACACTACAAATTTATACAAAAAAAAAACTGATACAAAAACGCGCGCACTAAACCTATACCCGCACACTCACTCATTTAATACATGAATTGAACCTATAAGCACACATGGTTCATTAATTATTATATTATACTGTAATAATATTAATATGAAGGGCAGGTGAAAAAAAACAAAAAAAAACAAAAATTAACACAACGTATTTTTATCCTCTATCAGTGTAAAATTACCTAACATTACTTACCTATGATTAATATTACTTAACTATCAAAAAACAGCATAATTATATAAGAATAATATATTATATATAACATATATTTTTGATCATTACGAAGTATGCAAATAGTAAAAAAAAAAAAGAATAAATAAAAAGCCAAGATTTTTATTGGCGCGCACGATTTAAAAAGAGAGCGTGAAAGAAAGAAATAGAAAAATTTAACAAAAACATAATACGTTTTCACATGGCGACAATATTCTATTAAACTTTAATTCTTTTTGGGGAAAACGTTCTGTCATGAACATAGATAAGAATTTTTTAAAAGTTATAGGTTTATAGTCAAATTAATAATCTCGTCCCGCCAGTGTGTAATACGATTATTATTCATCATTAAACGACACGATTCGATTGTTTACTTATTAGTGGAATTTATTGACCACTATTAAAAAAAAAAAAAAAAATTATGTTCAATTGAACAATTGAATATGAATTAAATAAAAATAAAAATTGATTGTTTATTTAATAAGTCATATTTATATTTATAAATAAATAAAAGAAAATATAAATTAATTAAATGATTATAACAATGCATTCTCAGGAATTTCGTTAGTTGTTTAATGATGAATTATTAATCGTTCTATTTGCAGTGTCGCACTGTGAATAATTAAAGAAATTAAATGAAATAATAGGAAGATAATGAAATAAAAAAATGAAAAATTAGGTGAATTTAAAAAAAAAAAAAATTAAATAAAATATTAGAAAAAAAAATAAGTTACCAAATGCACTCTCTATGCGGGTCTTTTATCAACGGTTTCTATTAAATCCGACTTTTTTAATATGATGAAGAAACTTTTCTACCATAACCGTGGCAGTGTAGTGTTCTTCAATGAACTATAGACTCTTCTTATTGTCGGATGACTCGCTAGAGCACGTGAAAACGATTGCAATGGATCAAAAAAGATAAAAATAAAGTAGAATAAAGCGCCCATAAAAATAATGTTTGAAACTAGCACGATCGATCGGTATCATTTCACGTCCTTTGAATCGTACAAGAAATAGTTGAAACCGACAGATATCAAATGATAATGTTCTTTAAATGCTTTTCAGTCTCAAAAAATAAATCCCATCATTTTTTACGCGATTTAAAAGACAATGAATAATACAAAACGAACTATCTACAATACACATTCTACAATTAATCCTCATTATATATACATATAAATATAATACGAAATATCCAACTGCTCATTTTTTCAATTCATTTTCATAAATATATTTTTAGTAATTAAACATGTGCATTTAAATTCATTATGGACAACGGGAGAAGTAAAGACAATGAGAAGAAAGTAAATGAAAAGAAAAATAATCACACATACATACATAACAGAAATTATTGGTAAATAAAATTTTTAATGTTCCTTTGGACCAAACTTTTAATGCAAGAATAAAAAATAACAAAAATTGTAAAGAATAAATTACCTTAACGATTAGAGTGCGTGTATTATCGCCACTATGATATTGTACATGCAAATGAACGTAAGAAATTCAGTGGAAGAGCCATTTTTTTTATACATATTAAACAAAAAAAAAAAAATTATATATATTATATATATATAAAGAAAATTAATTACGCACTCATTATATGACTCTTATACGACTGAAACTCTTGGCTGTATATAATGTGAGGCATGTATATGTTCGGTGTTAAAAAAAATTTCTTATTAACGAAAAAAAAAAAAAAAAAAAAAAAATTATATTACGAAAAAAACGTATTAAACAAGGCTAACTTTATCTTGGTGTTTTGGAACTAAACTAAATTTACATATTTAAGCAAAAGAAAAAATATTAAAATTCCAAGTTATCGAGTGTAAACGTTAAGGTCTCTTTTAGGGTTAAAATCGAAGCACGGGAGAGCAAGCACTAATTATGATTGTGTGTAAACGTAATTAAAAGAACCTACTACCTACTTCGTCACCCTTTAACCAGTGTCCCCCAAACATCCTTTTTAAATGAACGCGACTACGGTAAAATTATAAAATGACTTTGGTGTAAATTACTCTTGGATACATTTATATCTTCTGAATGTTCATTAACCGCGCGCGAATTAAAAAAAAATTTCTTAACTTCAATCTTCTCTCCCTCATTGAATATATTTCATTCTAATTCATCTTTCTAAATTCATTGTAATCCGAGTTCAAATTTTATCAAATCAATTTTAACATAAGATGTGAATAATTCAAAAAAAAAAAAAAACTACTATTATATCAATCACATACCTTAAATTTTAATTTATTCATTAATTTTCAATATATACAATTACGATTCATTGCGACGAACGATACAGTCTTTGTATTTAATCAATAAAAGAGGTGTCGGATTTTTGACGGTCGACGTGTTTCTAAAAAAATAAAATAATTTTAGTTATTTATGCTGGTGCTGCATTCTTGAGATTTCACGTTAAATTATTATTGACTATTTATAAAATAATAATAGTTAGCTACAATTTGTCATTTTGTTAAATAAAAAAAGTTTATTTAGAGATGAGCACCGGCAGGAAAGACGCAATCAATTACTGATACACATAAGAGATGGAATTTTACATTGAATTATTTTGAATTGATAATTAATTTAAAAAATTGTGCAATAAAATCAAAATATTTCATTATTAATAATTATAAAAAAATATATAAAAAAATTTTGATGATTTAAATTATGATAAAAATTTATTTAAATTGTTAATTTTTGAAGAGAGAAAAAAAATGAAAATTCAATCTCTGTGTAATCGTATACGATGCGTCAATGATCCAGCGTGATGAATTAGTTAATGAGAAGGGCAAAGTTTTAAGATTAAATGAAAATATATTATATTAAAATATCTGTGATGTAAAAAAGTAACAAAATTTTGATGTATATTTTTCACAAACATATTATAACCTGCTAGTGTATATGTATAAGATTACCGATACTATATTGTATAATTACGATGCGAAAAAGATAATTAAAAAACAAAAATACAATTGCGAGGTTTACACAGGTGGTCGGATAGAATCAAGATGGCGATAATTAAATGGAAAATCGGATTGAAAGAATCCCGGCTTCATTTTTCTAATTAAATAGCACGAATGTGAAATAAATAAATTAAGTTTAGATTATATTATCATTTGAACAAGTTGCCAAAATCATAAATATAAATTTAGTCGTGATAGTTTTCAGCTGATTAAAATAATTAATTAAATAATATGTACGGGAAATGCAATCCGATTGGCCCTGAAACGGCTCAATGTCAGCTACCTCACAATACTATCACGTTCGGTACGGTTAATGCATGATATTCAAGTATTGAGATGATTTGAGACACCTCTGAATCAAGTTCTATAACAGCTATTTATGAATAAACTCAAATTTATTGCTCAATAATTATTTTCTCAAAGATAAAAAAAAAAGTAAAAAATATAATGAAAAATAATTTATATTTGTTGTGGAGGTACATAAAAATCATATCTTATTCAAACTCATGTTTTGCTGTTTAAAACATGTCCATTAAAGTGTCTTCAGGATCATCATTGATACTTGAACCCGCGAAGAAGAGGATAGGGGGTGTGAGAATGGTCTAAACAGTTCCAAATTGTGCCTAAGTTTTAAAGTTACATTTTTATGATCACACACAGTAATAAACATATAATATGATGTAGAAGCAAACATTTAGTTTCAACGATAATATATTTATAAGAAAGATTTTTAAAAATAGATTAAAAAAATGCAGTGAATGGATTAGATATGCGAGAAAAAGGTAAAGTTTACAGAATAGTAAATGGCTGAAGAATAATGAAATTAAAGAAAAAAAAAATATAACAAAATAATACCTCCTGCGTTTTAGGGCCATTCCGATTGCCATCTTGAGTTCTAATTTACGTTTCGTTATGTCGAATAAGTGCAATTAGGTACACAGTGAACAACACAAACACGTCGAGAGGATCGTAGGGACGATTAAAAATACTTTTGTGTCGTAGTTAATGATATAAAAAAATTAAAAAATATTTAACAAAAAAAAAAGAAAAAACTGTTACGCGCTAGGTTACCGTTTTTTAAAAAT